CCTTTCCCCCCCCCACCCCCCAACCGAGAATCTAGGTTAGTTCCTCCTATTATCCCTCTCATAGGGCCCTGTCACTTTGCACAACTGTCATTCTACATTTATCTGTGTATTTGTCATGGCTCCATTTCTCCCACTGCTGTACCAGCTCCGGGAGAGCAGGGTCTGCATCTGGCTTATTTGCTTTTGCTGCCCTGTGGCCGGGGCCTGGCACGATGCGGAGCAAAGTCGGCGTCACCCAGACAGCAAGCACCTGAGCTGGAGGCAGACTCCAAAGCCCAGACCGTCTCGCCTGCCTCTGAGCCCCATACAGCACTGCTCCTGTCCGCCATTCTCATTCCTATCCTGAGGGTATAACCACCAGGCCCTTAGCACCCCTGTGCTGGGCCTCTGGGCCTCTGGTTCTGGGAGACAGAGATGAGCCGAAAGGGGGTGCTGATCTAACCCTGCTGGGTTACCAGCAGCCACCTTCGCCTCCCCCGGGGGACAGTGCCATCCCAGGGGCCTCTGGACCCCAGGGAGTACTTTATTTTGTTTCTAATGAAGGGCAAAGGGGGTTCCTTCTTCAGAGTCATGCCCTGGGGCCCACGGTATCTGGTTGCCACACAGAAGGGAACGTGGGACAGTGATTCCCCTGCAGCGCATGGGGCTGTCGCAGCTGCAATGGAAGCGTCATCGGTAAGTGGCATCGTAGCCAGTCAAGGCAGCCGAGTGGAACAGGTCCGAGGTGGGTGTGCGTGGACCAGGGTGGGGGGGGCCTTAACTGTGCTGTGGAGGCTTGGGTCCGGCCACTGGTTCAGCCACTTTCCGGCCCTGCTTGGATGTGTCCCCACATCCAGGCCCTGTCATCCACGTTCCACATTCCACGCCCACGTGCCGGGTCTTTCCAGCAGTGTCTGCGTCTCCAGTGATGCATTATGGTTTTGTTTTGTTCCTTGCTGGGAAAGCCTAGGCAACAGGCTCCAGAGGAGGCTGGTGAACGAGGAGGGGACGGTCGTTGGTGAGGATGGGCAGCGACGGGCATCGCATTCACAGAGCTCACGCCGCCCTTTGCCCCACGATGTCCGAGGGGACCTCCTCGCCTCTCCCACGCCCATTCCTCAAATGCCATCCGGCACAGTGGCACCCTCTGTACTACAGTGAAGGGTTTGAGGCCCCAGAGGTGGCCCACCCCTGCCAGCAGAAGCCAAAGGCCCAAATTCTAGTAAAGCAAAAGAATGTTCTCCCTTGGGGCTCATCAGCCCAGCATCTCACCCAGGGGTCCATCGATGTGCCCTGGGCTAATGCAGGGAGCTCTGACTTTCTCCAGGACATTTCATTTGGATACACTTTTTTTCTCTAAGTCATGGTTTCTTGACCTCTGCACTGTTGACATCATGGGCCGGATAATTCACTATGGTGGGGACTGTCTTGTGCACCGTAGGATATTTAGCAACATCCTTGGCTTCTACCCACGGGATGCCAGTAGCACCCTCCAACCAGTTTCGTCAATCCAAAATGTCCCCAGACGTTGCCAAGTGTCCCGCTGGAGACAAAAACCACCCCCAGTTGAAACCACTGTTCTTCAGGCAGGACTGGGGCTCCCTGTGTCCTCCCACAGTGAGGAGATCCTACAAAGCAGGATGCGGGATGTGCCGGCACCCTCTGCCTGGATGCAACCCCCGGGCGGGGAGCGGAGCCGGGCCGGCCCACTTCCCTTCCTGGGGGACCTGAGAGTGGGGTGCAGATGGGCGTAAGCTCCGAGGCCAGACGGTGGGCTGAAGTCCCAGCTGTGCCACTTGCTCCCATGAGACTTGGCCAATTCCCTCCCTCTCTCTGTGTCTTGCTTGGTACACTGTGACTCAGGGATTGTAGGTGGTGATGTCACTCCTTCTGGGGTTAATGCAAAGATCAAGCGCTCAGTCAGTGTGCCCTGCGATGATTGTTTTATCAAGGTCTAGCCACAGTGGCAACTGGATTTTTTTTTCCCTTCGGGAACAAGGGGTGGCTGACCCTGTGTCCTTCCCCAGTAAGATTCTTAACACGGTCATTTTTTATTTTTTAAAGAGCGCTTTCAGGACTTCCCTGGTGGTCCAGTGGGTAAGACTCCGCACTCCCAATGCAGGGGGCCCGGGTTTGATCCCTGGTCAGGGGACTAGATCCTGCATGTGTGCCGCAACCAAGGGTCCACATGCCGCAGCTAGGAAGTCTGCAAGCCGCAACTAAGACCCTGAGCAGCCTAAATAAATACATAAATAAATAAATATTTAAAAATAAAGAGCACTGTTGGGGTCACCTGACACCCACAGAATGAACGGTGGTCAGGGATTTCTCCTGGTGCAAAGCTGCCTCTGAATTGCCCTTTTGCACTACCAGTGTTTCTGATCACCAAACGCTCTGCTTTGCTGTGGTTTCAGGGCATCCCACTGCCCATGCTGGAGCCCCCTTGGGCCCTGCGCAGTGTCAGGAGTGAGCTGCCTGGGCTCCTGTCCCCGTGCTGCCCCTCATGAGCCCGGTGACCCGAACACGTCTCCCAGAACCTGTTTCTTCATCTACCCAGGAAGGATAATCAGAGCAGAAACCTTCCAGGGACTTTATCAAAAGAGTGACACGAGATAACATGAAAAGCTCTTAGTGCGGGAGGCATAACAAGCACTAACCATTAGCACTATTATTATTAACTTAATTTTACAAGAATGAAGACAGCAGAAAGCTCGCCGTGTGCAAGAGACACCCAGCTCGTTTCACCCACTGACTCTCACCCTCTTGGAGGTCAACATTCCCCAGAGGAGTTGCTTGGAAAGACGTCTTAGAAGTGGACAGACTTTCTGTTCCCCAGTCATGTATGGGTGTGGAGGGTCAGTAAGGGGGGAGGAGAGACCGCTTCCCGCACCCACAGGCCTTCCCGAGGCCCGGCCATGGCCATGGCAAGCCCAGCGGAGGCTTTGCAAGCTTGTGAAGGAAGATGCTTGTTGGGAAAGCCCTTGCAAAGCTCAATCCAAGGGAATAAGGAGGGCCGGGGGACCTGGGTGAGGTTGGCTGGGGTGTGGCTGAGACCAGGGGACCAGCTCTGGGATGAACCCTGCCCCTTTCCTCCCTCCGAGGGGTCTCTTGGGACTGGGCTCAGGGAGTCACTGGGGACCGGGGATCTGTGGGGCATGGGGGCTGGGTTGGGGCCCCTTTGCTCCTCCAGCTCTCCCTTACCCCGGAGACCCTTTAAGGGAGGGCGTCAGCACCCCGACTTGTAAAACCAGGGCAATGCCGAGAGGTGGGAAGCAGGCGCGCGTGTGAGCAGGGCTCCAGTCAAGGTTGACCTTCCCAGGTTGGACTCTCTTCACCGTCTCTTTCTTCCTCCCCTTGTTCCTCTCCCTCCACCTCCTCTTCTGTCTCCAGACTTGGTTGTTTCAGCTACGGAAAGACAGCATAGACTTGTTGGTGGAGGGCAGGCCTCCCTGCACCCGGGAGGTTAACCCCTGAGCCTAGGTTGCTGGGCACCCAGGAGACCGCGCTGCCAGCACCACGGCCGTGAGAGCCTAGCGGGCGCTCGACACCTGCGGGTACGGATGGTGGGCACGACCTCGGGCACCTGCCTGGGCCACCTCGAGCTAGCTCCTCCTGAGTCTCCTTGGTCCCCTCCCCTGTAAAGGGGACATGATTCCCTGCAGGGCTGTGGCTGGGATTAGAGATAATGCGTGTGAGGACCCAGCAGTGCTTTCTCAGCTCTGACCCCAGAATGTCTGGCCAACTGCGGAGACGCAGAGACAGGCAGGAAGCGTGTGGTGGGCAGAAGGAGGGGGCCAGGTTCTGTGTAGCTTAACCCCTTCTGAGGACCAGTTTCTCCATCCAGGGTGTTCACGCTGCTGTGCGGAGCACATCTGGGGCTGTCCAGCAGCAGACACGGAGTCAGTGGCCACATTGCACGGTGTCAGCATCACCTGCTGGAGGGCTGGAGGGCCCGGGGGGGGATGGGTGGGAGGAGCCCGGACTGTGGGTCAGGAAGGCAGGACTCCAGCCTCGCCTCAGCCCCACCTGTACCACCAGATGGTGTGAGAATAAAGCCGCTCAGACCGGGTACTTCCAAATGCAAAATGCGCCCACAGAAATCACAGCCTGTCTCTAGACCCAGTGGGAGAGAGGCAGAAACGGTGAGTAGTCACGGGATGGAGCTGGTGAGCTGCTCTGTGTGCTTACCCACCTTCCGTCCCCCTGTCTCTCCATCGGTGCCCGAGAACTGGACACAGTTCTATGCGGCCACACGGCCTGTGCTGACCAGGGCTCCACGCTTGCTTTAGTGTCTGCTGCCGCTGTCTCGAACTTCTCAACCCTTTTTTTTTTTTTTTTTTTTTGGCCACGAGGCCTGAGGGATCTTAGTTCCGTGGCCAGGGATCGAACCTGCACCCCCTGCAGTGGTAGCGTGGAGTCTTAACCACTGGACCGCCAGGGAGGTCCCTTGAACTTCTCAGTACTTTTGAACCAGGGGCCCCATGTTTTCCTCCCTTCCCTAACTAGGTAGCCGATCTCGCTTACAAGGGCAGACGCTGGCCCACACTCGCTTGTGCTTTTCCCTTCCGTGCTGTGCTTTCACTCTTTCACATCTCAGCGTCTTATCTGTGGGCCCCTAAAGACAATGGCCCAGACAGACCACGTCTTTTTCTTCGTCCCCTGGTACCTAAGAGGGCCTGGAAGGTGACACTACCTTTATCACTCCATCTCCTCAGTTTCCAGATGAAAATTAAGGAACCAAGAAGTGAAGTGATGGGCCCAGGCGATACAGCTAGAAGGTGCTTTGGAGCCGGGGCCATGGATGGCTGAGTTCAGGACAAATTTCCCCCCCTGATGCCAGGAGGGGTTGTCACGGATCTCACAGCCCCCTCCTCCCGGGGCCTCCAGGCTCCCTCTTTTCTGATGGCTCACGTAGCCCAGGTCACATGCACGTTCAAGGCCCCCATCGTGGTGGGGAGAGGATTTCAAGCAGCCCAGGGCACGGCTCCTGCGCTCAGGGAGCCTGAAGGGTGTTTGGAGACTTAGGATTCCTCTGGAGGAAGGGGGTAATTCCTCCCACTTGCCAGGTGGACAAATGTAGGTCCACCCGGTGAGGCCACTTGCTCGCGGTCGCCCGAGGTCAGCAAGCAGGCAGCCCGGGCGCCGCAGCTCCCTCCCGGCCACGCCACCCCGAGCCCGCTCGAGGCCCCTACAGGCTTGGGCTTCTTTGTGGCCTCCGCCTCCCTCCTCTTCAGCTCCGTGAAGATGACATCGAAGAACTCCTCCTCGGCCTCGGTGACCAGCTGCTCCAGCTTCAAGGCAGGCTTCTCTTCCCTCGGGTGGCTAGCCTTGCCCTCCGCCTTGCCCTCCGCCTTGCCCTCCGCCTTCAGTCGCATCTCACGGTGCCTGGCCTCCAGGGTCTTCTCCCGCCGGGCCTCACGCTCAAACATCTGTGCACAGGGACAAAGAGGCCGTGGGAGAGGCGGGCAGGCAGCGCTGGCTCCCAGCACGGGCGCCGGGCGGGTTCTCCTTGCTCGACTCCAAGCAGCCCACACAGAGGCCTGTACTCCGGGCTAATGGCAAGAAAGGGGGGCTAAATATGGGGGTTGGGAGGCGGGAGCAGGGGTGCCAAGATACTCAGTTCCAAGGAATTCCAAGAACACGGATGCAGGCATGAAGAACACCCTCTGGGGCTGCGCAACATGGCGGCCTGGGCCCACAGAGGACGAGTTCATTGGTGGGACCACAATCTCAGGCAGAGCCAGGAGGGTCTCCCAGGGTCTCGGCACCAGGGGTTTTCAATTTCTCTGCGTGCCCCACGGTTCTGGGGAGGCGCCTCCGGGGTGATGGATCTCAGCCCCCAGGGCCCCTTCCCCAGGACGGTCCCCTTCCAGCTGTCTTCTCTACAGGCATTCTGCTAAGCCTTCCTTGGACAGGTTCTGCTGCCCCAAGGGTATGTTGTTTGAAACTAGACAAACTGACCGAGTCAAACCACTTGGATTTGCAGCTGAAAAAAACTGAAGCTTGGAGAGGTAGAGTGACTTGCCCAGGGCCACTTGGCTACTGAGTAGTGAAGCCAGGGTGGATTCAGACATTCCCAGCATCCATTTCTCGGGCTCATTTCCTGATCCACCCCCAAATATCTATCCATTTCCCAGGAGGTGACAGAAAAGGGCACCTGTTCTTCCCTGACTGGCCCGCTTGGCCAGGGGGCCAGGTCAGGACAGGAGCTGGTGCACACCTCGCCCGGGGCCCGCACCTACCGAGGAAACCATGTTCTTCTCGTTCCTCTGCAGGGTGCACAGCCCATTTGAGACCTCCAGCAGCGTGGTTGTCCCCAGCTGGGAGCCACAGGCAATGAAACATCCATTGCCCTGTACCCGGAGGCAGAAGAGGGCCTCGTCACACACCTGTTGGAGGGTCAGGCAGACCCGGGTGAGGGAGGAGAGAGGAGCAATGTCACCCTTTGTTGGTCTGATTATCTGGCTCCTGGGGAGACTTAGCCAAGCAGCCCCATTCAGACACCCTTGGTGGCTCCCCCGATTGAGGGGGACCCCAGCCTCAACCCACAGGATGAAGTTCACACTCTACGACTGGCTGTAAATCCCTTCACCCCCAGCCTCATCTTCCATCTCAGCCTGCCCCCCCTCACACACCCCTTCAGTCCAGCCCCACTTTCTTTCTTTCTTTTTTTTTTTTTCTTTGCTGCACTATTGGGCACGTGGGATCTTAGCTCCCTGACCAGGGATCGAACCCGTGGCCCCTGCATTGGGAGCGTGGAGTCTTAACCACTGGACCTCCAGGGAAGTCCCTTCAGCCCCACTTTCATTCTGCAGTTTCCCCAGCCCCACGCTTTTCCACGGCCCTAGCCTGCAGGTCTCTGCTCTGGCTTTGCTGATGGGATAACGTTAGCTCAGGCTGGAAGGGGTCAGCTGCCAGAAGCCTGCGCCCTGGCTTCTGAAGGAACAGGCCTGGCGGGAGGAAAGGCCGGGCATCTGCTTTTCTCCTTTTGTAATTCCCCTCAGGTGATTCTGCTGTGCCACCAGAGTCTGAGGGCCTGGGTGCATGCGGAGGCAGGTGCACGTGACCTTCAGGCTGAGGGCGGGGTCACATTGCTTGAACACAAAGTCCCAGATGTCCAAGGTCCCGTCCATCTTGGTGGTGAAGAAAACCGCTGGCCTCACTGGGCTCCAGGCACCATCAGTGAGATAAGCCATGTGGTACCTGTTGGGAGCCGGGTGCCACCGGTCAGGGACCACTGTGGTTGGGACGGATGGAGAGCCTGCTGAGCCGCAGCCCTACTCATCCAGCCCCGCCCCGGCTCCAGGGTTTCATTGCTGGGCAGGAAGTTCTTTCTTGTGTCTGACTTCTAGCCACGCCAGCCTCGCCACCCACAGCTCACAGTTTGCACTATAAAGGGTTTTGGGTGGGGTCCTTCCCAGGGGCTGGTCACTGGCGTTTTCCACAGCCAACTCCAGGGCACAGGCTTGGGCCCAGTCCCCCAGCCGTGAGACTCACTTGAAAGGAGTCGGAGGAAGGAAAAGTTGCCCAGAAAAGTTCATGCTACTGAGATGAAGAGAGTGTTATACTTTCTACTTGGTTTAACCCAGATTTTCAACGATTTCTGCAGTGAAGAATGAAACTGGACCCTTATCTTATACTGTGTACAAAAATCAACTCGAAATGAATTAAAGGCTAAAACGTATGACCTGAAACCATAAAACTTCTAGAAGAAAATGTAGTGGAAAAGTTCCTTGACATTGGCCTTGGCAATGACCTTTTGGATATATGGCACCAAAAGCAAAAATAAACACGTGGGATTACATCAACCTAAAAAGCTTCTGCACAGCAAACAGTCAACAAAATGAAAAGGCAACTAACACAACATGGTAAATCAACTCTAGGCCATTAAACATTTTAAAATAAATAAATTAATTAATTAAAAAATAAATTTAAAAGTTGCACAGGCAACCTAAGGAAAATATTTGCAACAAGCCATATGTCCGATAAGGGGTTAATATCCCAAATATATAAGGAACTCATACAACTCAATGGCAAAAAACCAAATCACCCGATTAAAAAAATGGGCAAAGGACCCAGACATGGATCTTCAAAGAAGACATACAGATGGCCAACAGGCATGCGAAAAGGTGCTCAGCATCACTAATCATCAGAGGAATGCAATCAAAACCACAATGAGGGGCTTCCCTGGTGGCGCAGTGGTTGAGAGTCCGCCTGCCGATGCAGGGGATGCGGGTTCGTGCCCCGGTCCGGGAAGATCCCACGTGCCGCGGAGCAGCTGGGCCCATGAGCCACGGCCGCTGAGCCTGCGCGTCCGGAGCCTGTGCTCCGCAGCGGGAGAGGCCACAACAGTGAGAGGCCCGCGTACCGCAAAAAAAACAAAAAAACAAAAAACCACAATGAGATATCACCTCACAACTGTGAGGATAGCTAAATTATTAGAAAAACAAAAGATGAGAGCTGGAGAGGGTGTGGAGAAAAGGGAACCCTTGTGCACTGTTAGTGGGAATGTAAATTGGTGCAGCCGCTATGGAGAACAGTGTGGAGGGTCCTCAATCCCATTTCTGGGTCTTTAGCCGAAGGAATTGAAATCAGGATCTCGAAGAGATACCTGCCCTCCCATGTCCACTGCAGCACTATTCACAATAGCCAAACATGGAAACAACCTAAATGTCCATCGACAGATGAATGTGCAGTTTCAAGCATCTTCCTTTGTGAAGGGGCTGAATCAAGCCACTTCCCAGTGTAAGCTTGGCTGTTTGTGGAGAAGTGTTTTCTCCATTTTATGGGTGGACACAGAGAGGCTCAGAGCACTCCTGGGTTGGGCTGGGCCCCCCCCTGTCCCCTCCACCCCCTGCATCCCTCTCCCGCCCCAACGTCCCCCCTTACTTGGTCCACATGATGGACGACTCCCGGCTGTCTTCTGACCAGATGCGGGCGGTCCAGTCGCCGACAGTCAGAAAGTTCTTTGGGTAAAACGGGTTTCGCTGCAGGGCATAGATGGGGCCATGGTGGCCTGAGAAGGTGCACACGATCTTCTCAGCCGGTGTCTTGGCCTTACGGTTGCAGGAGATGACGATGCCTTGCTCCGTGCCCACCATGAACTTGGTCGGCTGTGGAGGGGGTGACACGTGAGCGAAAGGCTCCATGGAACATCAGCTCAGTGTTTAGCTGGCAAGGCGAGCGGTTTTCCAGAGTCAGGGTGGTGGAGCGGCAGGACGGCTGGGGATCCAGAGGTGTTGAAAGTGCCTTCGGTTTAAGCCTCTGCTCGCGCTGTGCCCCACCCCCTTCTAGGTAGCTGTGCCCACTCTTGTGCTTGGTCAGATCCCACACTTCTTTAAACCTGCCCAAGGGCCCCACGAATAATGAAGCCCTCCCTGACTCTTCTGGTCCCTGGAGAGTCTCATCACCAGCCCTCTTCATGTAGCCTCACTGTGTCCACTAAGCATTTTGCCATAAAGATCCTGAATGTTTACACATAAAGTAAGTGATTGAATCAATAATGTAAAACTTGGATCTAGAAGAGCTCCCTCCAGCCTCCAACTACTACTCCCGGCAAAACTGGTCTACATTGTACACCCGTGTCCATAGCATCTTTATTCACAACACCCAAGTGTCATCGACATGTGAACGACATGTGGTCTCTGCCCATACAATGCAATATTATTTGGCCTCAGAAAGGAAGGAAATTCTGCCACGCCCTACAGTGTTGATAAACCTTGAGGACATTGTACTAAGTGAAAAAAGCTCATCACAAAAAGACAAACGCAGTAAGTGTTCACTAAAATGAGGGACCCGGAGGAGGTAAATTCATAGACACAGAAAGTTGAAGGGGCTGAAGGGAGGGGAAAATGGGGAGTTTGTTGATTAAAAGGTACAGAGTGTCAGTTTTGTAAGATGAAAAAGCTCGGGAGAGCCCACAATGTACATATATTTAACAATGGTTAAGATGGTACATTTTACATTATGTGTGTTTTGTTTTTGTTTTTACTACAATTAAAAAGAACAACTGGGCTACAAATTGGAGGGTCAAAGGAAAGTGAAGACCCTTCTACACTGTTGGTGGGAATGTAAATTAGTACAATCATTGTGGGGAACAGTATGGAGGTTCCTTAAAAAACTAAATATAGAACTACCATATGATCCAGCAATCCCACTTCTGGGCATATATTCGAAAAGATACACGCACCCCAATGTTTACTACAGCACTATTTACAATAGCCAAGACATGAAAGTAACCTAAATGCCCATCAATAGAGGAATGAATAAAGAAGATGTGATACATATATACGATGGAATATTACTCAGCCATTAAAAAGAATGTAATAATACCATTTGCAGCAACATGGATGGACCCAGAGATGATCATATTAAGTGAAGTAAGTCAGACAAGGACAAATATTCTATGATATCACTTATATGTGGAATCTAATTAAAAAATGATACAAATGAACCTATTTAGGGAGACTGTGTGCTCACAGTGCAGGGGGCCCAGGTTCGATCCCTGGTCAGGAACTAGATCCCACGTGCATGCCGCAACTAAGAGCCCTCATGCTGCAACTAAGAAGCCCACATGCTGCAACTAAGAAGCTCGCATGCCACAACTGAAGATCCCGCCTGCCGCAACTAAGACCCGGCGTAGCCTAAGTAAATAAATATTTAAAGAACAAAACAAAACAAAAAAAACCCCAATGAATCTATCTATAAACAGAAACAGACTCACAGATATCGAAATGAAACTTATGGTTACCAAGGAGGAAAGGTGTGGGGAAGTGATAAATTAGGAGTTTGGGATTAACGTATACACACTACTATATACAAAATAGATAACAAGGACCTTCTGTGTAGCACGGGGAACTCTACTCAATGCCCTGTAATGACATACATGGGAAAAGAATCTAAAAAAGAGTAGACATATGTATTATGTACAACTGATTCACTTTGCTGTGGAACAGAAACTAACACAACATTGCAAATCAACTATACTCCAATAAAAATTAAACAAACAAGAAAAAAGGAAAGGAAAGAGACACAGCTCGAGAGTCTCAGAAAAGTAAGGAATAAAGTCAACTCCAGGGCTTCTGCAAGCTAGTAAGGGAGATAAACTGCCCAGGTCTCGGCGGCCCATCGTGCCTCAGACTCCTTGGTGGGGCGTGGGGTGGAGAGCCTGGGCCTTGGGGTCAGAGCCCTCGGTTTGAGCCCCAGCATCCCCGTGTTCTAGAGCATATGACTTACCTCCCTAAGATGAGTTGTTTATCTGCAAAGTAGGGATAATCACATCACCTCACAAGACGGTCATGGGTGATCACACAAGCTCATCACGTAAGGCAGTGACAAGGGTCCAGCACACAGTGTGGGAGAGGTGAGGGCTGGTGGCACTGAGGTCATTGCATCTGGCACTTGGACTAGCAATCTCTGATTCGAGGACAGAATGTTTTTCTGAGTCCTCCCCACCGTGACTCCATGCCCAGGGCTGAGGGGTTCAGTAAAACTGTTCTTCCACCTCATCCGCCACATTGATCCCCCAGCCTGGGGGGTGGGCGGGGGGACTCCCAGGGCAGGGGTGAGGCCAGCGCACCTCCATCTCCTAAGGGCCCGGGAATGATGTCACACGGCCTGGAAGCAAACCAGTGACAGTCCCAAGGGGGAGCCAGGCCAAGAGCCATCTGGAAAGGTCGTTTTCTTGCTTTGGAGGGAGTCTTCATTTGCACCTTCTAGAAGCTTCCCTCCTCAGACACAACCACATTCCCACTTTGATATTTCTTCACTGTTCCTTCTCAGTTACTAAATGCCATCATAGGCCTGTGCTCTGGTTTGCCAGGGAGCCTCCTCTGATCTCATTTTCCTCTCCAACACCTCTTCTTTCCCCACGGAAGTGAAGCCACCGGCCCAGGGTCCCACGTGATGCAGGGACAGAGCTGGTGCCTGGCCTCTGAATGCTGGTTGTGGACAGGGCTCTTCGCATAGAATGGGGCCTCTCTGGAATCCTGTCCTTTCAGAAAGCTTGCCTGCTGATCAGCCTGGACACTAGCCAAATGGCGACTCTTGAGTGAATTAGAATGGCCTCCTTCCTCTGCTCTGCTGCCCCCTGCTGGAAGGTGGTTGTAAAGACCACACAGGTCTAGGAGGACCACAGGAGGATGGTCCAGTGCGCAAGGTCAGAAGTAGCCTCAGGGCCCACCTGACACAGTAGCCACGGGTCTGCCCTTGGCTTTGGCTGCCCTGGCAGTGGAAGTCAGGGAAGGGAGAGGAAGGGACACCCACCAGAGTAGCCTCGAACTCCAGGGAGATGGCCCCCAAGGCATGCTCCAACTGTTCCTTTTTGGTGATGTCCATGATGACGACCTCGGTGGGCTCACTCATCTTCCGGACGTCCCACCACATGACCTGATGGGAGGAGGGGCCAACTCTGAGGCCTGAGGTCCCGCAATTCTCCTGACTTTTGCCTTCTCTACCCCCTCCACCTTTTTGGGGCCAGTCACTGGGGCCAAAGGGGTGTCTGACAGAAACTACCAGCAACCCGAGGGAACAAACATGCTTTGAGAATCACTCCTTTTGGCCACAGTCCCAAGCCCGGCTAATCATCAGCGTCATGAGCAAGCTTCCTAAAATCCAGATGTCAGGGCCTCACCCCAGACCTACTGAAGGAGAATTGCCAGATGTGGGCCCTGGAGTCTGTATTCTTAAAGTCTCCTCACACCAGGGCAATATATAGCCACATTCAAAATGCACACATGCTTTGACCCAGAAATCCCACCGCCAGGAACGTATGCTTCACACGTGTGCGGTCATCTATATACAAACACATCCTTTGCCACATTTTCTGGTAACTACAAAATATTAAAATCCACTTAAACAAATTACAGCATACCCATAATTTATTAAGTCCTTAGCAGGCATGGGGCAGCGCTTTACTATATATGAAATCATCTTCAAGACATGCTAAATGAAAAACATCAGGGCTTCCCTGGTGGCGCAGTGGTTGGGAGTCTGCCTGCCGATGCAGGGGACATGGGTTCGTGCCCCGGTCCGGGAAGATCCCACATGCCGCGGAGCGGCTGGGCCTGTGAGCCATGGTCGCTGAGCCTGCGTGTCTGGAGCCTGTGCTCCGCAACGGGAGAGGCCCCAACAGTGAGAGGCCCGCGTACCGCAAACAAAAACAAAAACAAACAAACAAACAAAAACGTCAAGTGCAGATCAACGTGCAAAGTGTACAGAAAGAGAGTGAAGACAGACACACTTGCTTCGGTATGCAGACACGGAGCCTGGAGGCTGATGTGGGTGGGAGCCTACACGGAGGGGGACTGGGAGGTTTGAGGGTAGAGGTGGGAGGAAGGCGTTTACTGTCTGCCCTTTTGTACCTTTGGGATCTTGTTCCCATGTGAATGTATTACCTATTATACAATTTAAAAATGGAATGAAAAGGAAACATTCTTAGGTAATTAAGTGGGAGGCCGGGCAACTGCTCTGATCCCCACCCCCTCGCCCCCCACAGCGCCTGGCTGGTGGGTACCTGCCCGTCCGTGGATGCTGAGAAGCACTCGGTGCCCGTCTTCGACTGCAGCCAGATGGTGCCGTAAACAGGGTCTCGGTGGCTGAACTCAATGGTGGACAGCTCTGCCACCAGGCTGCCCTTCCGGGTGTCCCAACAGGCTGGCGGGGAAGAAAATGAAGAGGATGTGATGGGGGCACAGGCTTCCTTTCTTAGTGCAGGGAGCACGGGATAGAGGGATGCTACTTGTCTTGGTTTGGCAGGTATGTGGTTTTTTAGAAGCGGGGCTAAGTTCAAACCCGCCTGAGTTTCCTACCAGCCCCCAAAGCGTGCTTCATTCATTCCACTGAGCCCCTAACACGTGTTGAGCATCACACTGGGCACTGGGGAAGCCACTGGGATTCAGACAGCCACAGTCCCTGGGAGACAGGAAAGGAAATCTGCAAGTACAGCCCGTGCTGTGATTGCTCCAGAAGGAGACACATGGAGGCAGTCAGGGAAGGCTTCCTGGAGGAAGTGAGAAGGAACTAAGACTGAGGAGGAGCCTTGGGATGGAGTGAGCCAGGCAAAGAGAGAGGAGCACCTCCACCCCAGGGAAAGGCTCTGGGAAGTAAAAACATCTATGCAAATCGCTCCTGCTGCATCCACTCATTCCCTTTTCGCCTCTGTACCTTTGCTGCATCTGATCGGAAAGAAACACAGAGAGGGAGATTTATCCTTTCTTCTGATTCGTAATTAGTACGTCGCTTCTTCTGCCACCCAGATAAATTTGCAGGAGGTTTATGGGAGCCCACATCTATTTCACAACCCAGGAGTTCCCCTGGAGAGGAGGCAGCAGGTCTAAGAGGGAGATCAGAAGCCTCAGGAGGCTAGGAGGCCAGGAGGCAGCCTGGCCATAGAGAGGTGCCGAGAGGCGTCCCAGACATTCCGGCCCCTACTCCTGGAGCGAGAGGGGAACATAGGAGAGCTCATGAAGACAGGAGGGAAGGGGAGCCCTTTTCATGTCTGGTTGAGTCTGGCCTGGGATGCAGACAGGAGGGTTAATTGTTTGGTTGCTTCAAGGCCAGAGGTGAAGGGCAGGCAGAAACCTTCAGGGCCCATGTGGGCAGGTTTCTTCTGAGCTCACCAGGGATACCAACATCAGTTTTCTGGGTGTCCCACCAGCAAAAACGGCAGAGTAAAGACCTCTGAGAATTCTCTCCTCCATAAAGGCCAAGAGAACCTTGGCAAAAATGGTCGGAATCAACTTTTTCAGAACTCTGGAAATTAGCCGAAGGCTGGCAGCAAATCAGAGTGTTTATTTGAGAAAAACGGCTGAATCTTGGTAAGAACAGTAAGTTCTGTTGCATTTTGACGTGCCCTAGTTAGGATCCTATACTCTCCGGTTCTATGGTAGCCTTGAAAAATAACATTCTGCCTTCCTGGTAAAAAACCAATAGCCTGGCAGCCAAGGGATGGAGCAGAATGGAGCTGGAGCTCTTTCAAAGTCTCCTATTCAAAGAATTGTCATTATTTGACCTGTCTGTCTGGTGGTTCCCTGGAAGACCCCCCCCGCCCACTTGCAAGGTTGTCTATATTCACCTTGACTTGGAGCTTGCCCAGTGAAAAAGGTCTTTTTAAGAAGGCAATTTTGAAAATAATTATAATTACAGACAACTGATTAACTTTGCAGTGTCCCACAGTGGTGGATACCAAGTGGGGCAAGCAATAGGCTAACCAAAAAGCTTGAAAGGAAAAGCTGGAGAATGTCCGTAGGAGTTTTGAAAAGCTCCTGGAACCTAGAAGGTCACATGCATGGGTATGGCTGTGTGCATTCCCAGGGCTGCACACATACTTAGGAAAGAACTGAGAAGGCCCTAAGCTTTCACCTCTGGCTGACCTTAAGGCTCGGTGCAGCGGCTAAGGCAGAGTTGACAACTAGGCCTGGCTGAGTGTTGAACGTTTGCTCAAGTATGCACACAGAGCCTCGCAGCAAAGTCTGTGAGATTTATTGGCTCCAGATGACAGCAGGCAGAAAACATTCATCTCAAGCGCACGGGGAACATTCTCCAAGATAGACCACATGTTAGGCCATAAAACAGGCCTCAATGGATTTTAAAGATTGAAATCATGCAAGGTATCTTTTCTTACCATAACAGAATAAAAGTAGAAACCAATAACTGAAGGAAAACCGGAAAATTCACAAACATAGAGAAATTAAACAACATACATCTAAATAATCCATGGGTCAAAGAAGACGTCAAAGGCAAATTAGAAAATACCTTGAAATGAATGAACACGAGAAGACAACATACCAAAACTTAGGTGTGGCCAAAGCCGTGTTTAGAGGTAAATGTATAACTGTAAATATCTGTATTTTTAAAAACCTCAAACCAATAATCAAACCTTCCACTTTAAGAAATTTAGAAAAAGAAGAGCAAAATAAACCCAAAGCAAGCAGAAAGAAGGACATAATAAGGATTAGAGTGGAAATAAATGAAATGGGGAGTTTAAAAACTGAGAAAAATCAATAAAATAATAAGTCGGTTCTTTGAAAATAAAACAAAGTTTACCAACCTCTAGCTAGACTGACCAAGTGAAAAAGAGCAGACACTCAAATTACTAAAACCAGGAAAGACATAGGAGATGTTACTACCAACCTTACAGAAATGAAATGATCGTAAGAGAATGAACAATTGTGTCAACAAATTAGATTACCTAGATGAAAAGGAAAAATTCTAGAAAAACACAAACTATCAAAACTGATTCAAGAAGGAATAGAAAATGTGAGAAGACCTGTAACAAATAAAAAGGTTGAATTTTCAACTTTCAAACTACCAATAAGAAAAATCCCCGGACCAGATGGCTTCATTGGTGAATTCTACCAAATATTTAAAGAAGAATGGTTATCAACTGTTCACAAACTCTTCCAAAAAAAAAAAAAGAGGAGTAACACTTCCCCATTCATTCTTTTTTTTTTTAATGTATGAAGTTTTATTTAACTTATTAATGAAAGAATAAACTGAATGAATCCCCCTGTAAATGGTCTTCATACCTCTTGTTTTAGCCAGTTCTATAATTCTTTTTTCTTTTTTCCTTTTTTCTGCCCCGACTCACTCTATATAGCTGGTATTACTCACACCCATTACCGTGTAGGTTGCCCCGACTGCATCTCCTGAGATGGAGCTCCCCAGTGGTCTCCTAACCCCTTTGCCTCTAGCTAACCTAGCCCAGCTCAGGGTAGGCATACAGTGAATGTTTCTTGACTTTACCTGGCCCATAATTTTCTTAACTTTTTATTTTGAACTCATTTTAGGCTCACTTGGACTTCTACAGCTGAAGACACGGACAAGGTATCAGCAAAACCTGTCTCACCTTGACGTCTGGAAGCTGCAGGAAGTCCCCACCCCACTTTGTCCTCCATGGCAAGCCTGGCCTGGCAGGTGGGCCCTGGCCAGACAGCAGCAGGGGCCAAGCTGCCTGAGAGCCTGCAGGGGACTCGGGCTGACTCCTGGTTAAGGGCCGGGGGTGGGGGTCCCTCCTTACCGATCTGCCCATTGTAGCAGCCTGCCAGGAGCACGTGGGAATCTTTGGGGTTGTATTCCAAGGTGACAAGAGGAGAAGACGGCTTTAGGACAATTTCTGGCCTGTTGGGATTTTCTACAAAGCAGAACAACAATAACAACTATATATATATATATATATATATACCTGGAAAAAAAAAGACAGGGTCAAACACTTTAACCCCTTTTACAGGTGGGGGGGGGGGGGCAGGGGAAGCCTGTATATATATATATATATATATACCTGGAAAAAAAAGGACAGGGTCAAACACTTTAACCCCTTTTACAGGTGGGGGGGGGGTGGCAGGAGAAGCCTGGAATCCCCTCTGCAGGCTGCAAGCTGCAAGCTCTGGTCCTCAGTGGCCAGCATCTAGCCCTGGAGGCTCTTCTACTGGTTTTAGTTTTGGGAATCAGGATTGTGTATGTGTGATTGTCATTCTAGTCCATTTTCCAGGTTTGGTATTAAATGAGGTTTAAGGCTTTTACAAAAAGTCAACTCTCCCCTGACTTGTGTGAACCAGCTGCCCTGTCTGTACAGCAGGGGTAATGATGGAGTCCAACCCATGGGACAGCGCTAAGAGCTCATTGAGCTGCTCAGGAGTGTAAAGTGCTCAGTCCTGTGCATGGCACCTACACCTGCTAATAAAGGCTAACGTTTATTTTTACAACAACAGCAATGAGGGACGTCTGAGAGCATAGATGGAGACCACAATCACCTGCTACCTGCCAGACTCTGCCCTTGGAGTGAGCCCTTCTGTCAACAGTGGTCCGTGCTCCCGAGTGGACACACTGCCCCTACTGGCCATGAACCAGGGGAAAGTGTCAGGACAGGTGGGACAGAGGTGAGTCCCTGCGTCCCTGTGAGGACCCCTTGGGTCACTTCTCAGTCTGCTGGGGACTCTTTCTGATATGCCCTTCAGGGACCCAGAGTTGGGTCTCCATGTAGTCTGGTCTTGAATGCCCTGGGATCTGGAAATGAAGGGAGTTCCTGCTTCTGATCTGGTTCCGCTTGGCTGCACCTGAACCCAGACAGCAAAGGGATGAGACGGTGGCTTCCTCCTGGGTCCCTGGGCATCCCAGTGAGGGACCAGCCCCACGAGAGTCCTGCTCCTTCTACCTTCCTCCCCCCGGGTTCTCACTGGTCTCTGCCGCACTCCCTCATCCTTCCCTGTGGCTACCAGACCCCTCTGCTTCTCACCCAGGTCCCAGATGTACGATTCATTGCTCATGCCCTCAGGCGCCCGTTGAAAATTCAAGCAAGAGTACGCCACTGCCAACTTCCTGTTGCCATCGGGGTGCCAGGAGATGTGTGTGGCTGGCCGCTTAATTTCCTGGGGATCCCTTTAGGGGAGGGAGAGAGGGCAGAAGACTGAAATCCCAGGCTCCCTCAATTTCGTATTTGCTAAATTTTTTCTTAAAAGAATTCATACATAGTTAAACATTCACTCAGATAAATTTATTTTAAAAACAAAGCTGACAGGACTCCCTTAATTGGAAAACTGATCTCACCAGCCATAAATAAAAACTAATAAAAATTAAGGCAATGGAAATAAAATATTAAATTTCAGCCTGGTGTCTTCGTTTGCTGAAAGTTCTGAGCCTGAGGCTTGATTTCTCATTAATATTAAACTATGAGGGAGGATGAAGAATTCAGCCATTACGCTCCTTGGTATTGGCCCAACTGAGTTGAAAACGTATGTCCACACAAAAACCTGCACACAGAGGTTTACGGCAGTTTTATTCATAATTCCCCAAACTTGGAACCAACCAAGGCGCCCTTCGGTAGATGAATGGATAAACTGTAGTACATCCAGACATCATTATTATTCAGCATTAAAAAGAAATGAGCTATCAAGCTATGAAAAGACATGGTGGAAACTTAATGCACATTGCTAAGTGAAAGAAACCAATCTGAAAAGGCTACATGTTGTATGATTCCAACTATATGACATTCTGGGAAAGGCAAAACCAGGGAGACAGTACAACAATCAGGGCAAGGGTTTGGGGGCAGGGAGGGATACATAGGTAAAATACAGGGGATTTTTGGACAGTGAAAGTATTCTATATAATACATTTGGAATGTATGACACCAAGAGTGAAACCTAATGTAAACTATAAACTTTGGGTGTGCTGTAGGCATCCCCCAAATTTCAAATGTTGAAGCCTAATCTCCAATGGGCTGGTATTAGGAGGTGGGGCCTTTGGGAGGTGATTAGGTCATGAGGGTAGAGCCCTAATGAATGGGATTAGTGCCCTTATAAAAGAGGGTCCACAGAGATCCCTCACCCCTTCTGCCTTGTGAGTTCACAGCAAGCAGACGGCTGTGTCTGAGTTAGAAAGTGAGTCCTGGGAATTCCCTGGAGGTCCAGTGGTTAGGACTCGCACTTTATTTATTTATTTTTTTTTGCGTTACGCGGGCCTCTCACTGTTGTGGCCTCTCCCGTTGCGGAGCACAGGCTCCGGACGCGCAGGCTCAGCGGCCATGGCTCACGGGCCCAGCCGCTCCGCGGCATGTGGGATCTTCCCAGACTGGGGCTCGAACCTGCGTCCCCTACATCGGCAGGCGGACTCCCAACCACTGCGCCACCAGGGAAGCCCAGGACTCAGCACTTTCACTGCAGGGGGCCGGTGAGTCCTCACCAGACACAGAACTTGACCTTGCTGGCACCCTGATCTCAGACTTTCAGCCTCCAGAGTGGTAAGGGATAAATTTCTGTTGTTTATAAGCCACCCGACTTACGGTACTTTGATACAGCAGCCTGAACAGACTAAGGGCAGGGTGTAATGATGTCAGTTTTGTTCTCTGACTGTGACAAATGTTCCACCTGCGGGGAGGGAGGAGGGAAGGGACGCTGATGGTGGGAGAGGCTGTGTGGGATGCGGGAGGATGCGGCATGTGGGAACTCTCCGTACATTCTGATCAGTTTTGCTGGGGACTTAAAACTGCTCGAGAGACACTGCTTCGGGAAAGATTTGAGGTGTTGTCTTTACTTGTTGCAAGTAATAAATCCTTCCTTCTCTGGGAAAAAAAAAAAACTGCTCGAAAAATATTAACTCTTAATAGAAAAAAATGAAAGGGGAGGGAGAATGTGTAAGAGTTAGAAAAGGATTAAAGACTTAATGGCCCCAGGGCTTCCCTGGTGGCGCAGTGGTTGAGAGTCCGCTCGCTGATGCGGGGGACACGGGTTCGTGCCCCGGTCCGGGAGGGTCCCACATGCCTTGGAGCAGCTGGGCCCCTGAGCCATGGCCGCTGAGCCTGCGCGTCCGGAGCCTGGGCTCCGCAACGGGAGAGGCTACGGCTGTGAGAGGCCCGCGTACCGGGTGGGGG